AAAAAAAAAAAAAAGAGAGCTGGGTATGGTGGTGCACACCGGTTATCTCAGCTACTCCAGAGGCTGAGGCAGGAGGATCAGGGAAGCCCGGGCAATTTAAAGACCTGTTTCAAAAAATAACATGGGGTGGGGGCCTGGGCTGGGGATGTTACTCAGTGGTGGAGTGCTTGCCTAGTGTGTCACAGCACAGAACAAAACATTAAGTGGCTTTATAATTGAACTAAATTTAGCATTTATATATAATCTCCTTGCTCTTTAACTTGCATTTAATTAAGGCCATGAGAAGTGTTTGCTTATTTCCATTTTGAGACATCTAACATTGCTAGTGGGAAGAAAAACCATTAGGATTCTACATAGTGAAATACAACAGGATTTTTTCACATTTATAAAGGTACCAAACTTCTCACCTAAAGTTCCACTTGTAGGACTTTATCTGACATATTGACTTGCACATGTGCAAGATGATGTCTCTTCAAGGATATTCATGTGTGCGTTGTGTAGCTCCTTTAATAGCTAAATGATTACATTCAGCCTAAAAAAATCTACCCATTGGGGTTACTGTGCAGCTAAAAAAAGAATGAGAATGCTTTTAATGCTTGCATTATGGAGTCATTTCTAAGTGACGATTTCCTTGTATATTCGTAAAACATTTGGAATGGTACACCGGAAATAGAAAGCAGCAGTAGTTTCTCATGGAGAACTGTGTATCTGAGTGACACAGGTGTAAGGCTTTGTGCCATTTTTTTTGTTTGTTTGTTTTTAGACAGGGTCTTGCTATGTTCTTAACCATGAAGCCCAGGCTGGCTTCAAACTTGAGTCAGTCTTCCTGCCTCAGCCTCCTGAGTGCTGGGATTATAGGCATGCACCACCACATCTGGCTACTACTTACTTAATTTTGCACCATGTGACCATAGTGAAAACCATGCATCTCTGCATTAATATAAACTTTTTAGGGGACAATCATGATCTAAAATCTATTTTGTTTTGTTTTTTGTCTTTTTGAGACAAGGCCTCGCTATGCAGTTCAGGCTGGCCTCGAGCTCACTCTGTAGCCCAGGCTGGTCTTGAACTTGCAATGATCCTCCTTGTAATGATGCCTCAGCCTCCCAAGTGCTGGGATTCCAGGTGTGTGCCACCATGCCCACTCTAAAATTTAAAGTAGAGGCAGCAGGACTGCCATGAGTTCAAGGCCAGTCTGGCCTACATAGTGAAACCCTGTCTCAAAAAAAAGTGAAATACAATCTTTTTGTTAAGAGGTTATCTATGTGTAGCTTAAGTATCTTCCAGCTGCAATGAGAAGCCTGAAGTTTTATTAGTTATTATGTTAAAGGAACAATAAACATATAGTTTTTTTTGGTTGTTGTTTTTTGAGACAGGTTCTCGCTGTATAGTTCAGGCTGAAGTATGTAGCCTAGGCTGGCCTTGAACTTGCGGCAATCCTCCTGCCTCCAGCATGCCCTGCTTTCTTTGGCTTTTTGAGACTATGTCTCACAATCTAGTTCAGGTTGGCCTTGAACTATGTTGCTCTGGCTGACCTTGAATTTAGGCAGTCCTCCTGCCTCAGCTTCCCAGTGTTGGGATTATCAGCGTGCATCACCACACCTGGCTACCACTTCCTCTTTCTCTCTGTTCTTGCCTGTGTGAGGCAAGTGCCTCTACTGCTGAGCTCCTGCCCCAGCCCGGAACACCTTTCTTGGGGCAAGTGAACTATCAAACTTGCTTCTGTCTGGGGTGTTATTTCAAACTTAACCCATCCCTGGCCTTTTCAACTTTCAGTTCATTTTCACAAGCATTATTCTTTTTGTTCCCAAGTCCTCTAAAGTAGATTTGAGCAGATTTTGACTTTATGAATGGGGAAAAAATGCTGAAAAACCTGATTTGCCTAAAGTTATGGTTTACATGTGCTGGAACTGGTAACATGGTGCTTTCAATATTGGAGCTCCCCCATTTTCCCCCTGCTGCCTTCACCCTCAGCCCCTGCCCTCAATTTCAACTGATAGCTTTCAATCATGTTAATTTTTTTGATGTCTGTAAGTTTTACAAGGGAACTGTCAATTTTGGCTTCTGTGTAATTAGGTTGGAACTTGCAGTGATCCTCTTGCCTCAGCCTCCTCAGTGCTGGGATTACAGGTGTGTGCCACTATACCTGGCTGGGAAATGACACTTTTAGCATTGGTATTATAATTATTCTGCCTCAATATCTGCTTAAATATTTTAAATATATAAAAACTGCATTATAACTTGAATATGCAGAGCAGACCCTGTTGCAAAAAAAAAAAAAAAAAAAAAGAATATGCAATGATTTTCCCACCACTCAAAAATTTTAATGTGTTCTGAAGGTTCTGGACCAAAAAATGTGCAGGGAGAACACAAAGAATATCAAAATAACCAAGTTTTAAAACTCCTCACATATTAAATATGATTTACAATACATATTTGCCATTACGGTATAGATAAGAAAATAGTAACCATATGAAATTCATCCTACTTATTAAAATTCCTAGTATAATAAAAATATTCAGATACTTATAAATAGGTAATAAAAAAGTTTCTTCTGGACAACATTCTTTGGTGTTCATAAAACTGTATATATTATATATTATCTATTTATCATAAAAGTCTTTTCAGACTATGCATACAGTTAAAATTGGAACTGGAGCTAGGGATATAGCTCAGTGGCACAAGCTCCTGCTTAGCAAGCGCAAGGGCGTGAGCTCAACCTTATGTTACCCAGTTGTGTGCAACTGGATAACATGGACACAACATAGCACGCGTTCTTAACCCTAATAAATTAATTATTCGTTTGCAGAAATAGCAAAAAAAAAAAAAACCATTGGAAATGGAGATATAAATTAGGTATCACCGTAGAAAGTAATTATAGGGTACTTTAATTTCATTGCCCAAAGGCTCATGGACAAGTTTTCTTATTAAACCTTGACATAGCTATTCTTTGAATTTTTGAAATATATCTATATCTTCCAGAAATTAGAAAACAGTTATCTCCATAGGCAGAGTGCTCAGCTCTGAACTGGCAGTTATTAATGCCTCTTGGTTGGCTCTTCCACGGCAGAAAGCAGCAGATGGAATGACGCACAGGCTGGGGTTGCCTGGGCACCAGCCTGACAGCAGCCAGGAGGGCCAGCTGCATAACGCGAGATGGAGTATTTGCTTTGGAGGAAGGTGACCAGCGAGTGGATAACATGGACACAACTTAGCATGCGTTCTTAACCCTAATAAATTAATTATTCATTTGCAAAAATACCAAAAGTAAAAAAAATTTATTTTACAGTGGTTGGTCTTGTAATACATCAAAAACTGTAATGTTATACTTTCCTGCTTTCCCTGCTTATCTCAAGACAGTTGCTGCAGTTTCATCTGAATAATTTAGTTTACATTTAAAGTGGCAAGACAGATTTTACTTACTGGATTTAAATTACGATTAGAAACCAGTTTATATACAGAAAATCCATAAATATAGAATTTTTGTTCCTATTTTAGCTTTAGGCTATGCAAAAAAATTGACTAAAAACTTTTCATTTGGGTCTTTGTAATAAACATGTAAATACATATTTACAATGGAGATGCTTCCTGATAAAGTAAACAGAAGTAATTTTGGTCTTCATTAGAATCCATCATTATGTGTCCATTTTTGAAGACGATGTGATAGTTATGTTCACTCAAATGTTAAGGTTCCTTTCATACACATAATTCAAATGTGGTAATTATTTTTCTTGAACAAATAATGTTTTATTCTGTATTTAAATTTTCTTTAAGATTCCTTGATCCAATCTCCAAATAGTAGAGAGCTTTAAAAGGTTTTGTACAGTTATGTACAATTTTTGTCCTTCACACACTATTACAAATACTGAATTCATCTTCATTGCTGACATCCCAGGGGTGCTCCTGAGTTATCTCACATGATGTAAGTCCCATCTTTGCAGTACTTCATGGACTCCATTTGTTTTGTCATAGCCAGAACATCATGAAATCCAGTACTTAGGCCAGACATATGTTGAAAGTATGCCTCTTTTTCTACTTGAATTGTTAAATTGTTTACTCCAGCATCTTTAAGTATTCCTGTAACCTGTTATAAAAACCAAACATTTTAAAGCATTTAGAGTAATGTATTTAGTACACATCTTAAGTAATTAGTATTATTACAGCTACAGATGGTCTAAGATAAGGCTTCACAGTAATATTTACTATTCAGTCAAAGTGTTCACTGGATCTCTAGGAAGGTCATTAAATTACCAACCTGATGTTTGTTTATTTTAGGCTAGTAAGTGAAGCAGTGGGAGTGGAGAAGGAATGGAGAAATCTGTAACTGGCTCTGGTCAACTAGTTGGATGCACTACTGACCTGACATTAAAGTACAGAAGGAGAAAACACATCTATGGTGTCACACTGGCACATTTAGCTTAGGTTGTACAACTTTTTTTTTTTTTTGCAGGGATTGAATTGAGGGTCTCTGCACTGAGCTACATCCTCAGCTCTCTTTTAATTTTAGTTTTAAGACAAGGTCTTGCTAAATTGCTTAACTGCCTAGGCTGGGCCCTAACTTGTTATCCTCCTTCCTCAGCCACCCAGAGTGCCAAGACTACAGATGTGTGCTAGGACTGCAATGCCAGCACTGTTTCGATCCATATATTCAAATATAGCATATCCTCTGCCAACTTGGTTATTGTTAATTAATTTTTCTTTTTCTTTTTTGTACCAGGAATGGAATTCAGGGCCTCGAACTTGCCAGGCAGGTGCTGTGCTGCTGAGCTACATCCCAGGCCCTATTGATTTAAGAGATATATTTACAATAACACTGTTTTATAATCTTCTGGGAACCAAAATGGATCACAAATGAATTTTTTTACATTAATCAAAATTTAATTATAACCATTTTTGGGTATAAAATAAAGCAAAATGTAAACAATAAGCTGTATTACCATGGGGCTGCTGAAAGATTTTGTTTTGTTTTTGAAACAGGGTCTCACTATATAGTTCAGGCTGGCCTTGAACAACAATGTAATCAAGGCTGTTCTTGAACTTGCAGTGATCTTCCTGTCTCCGCCACCCTAGGTGGGATTACAAGTGCGTGCTACTACACTCAACCTTAAAAGACTGTTTTTGAAAAGTAAATAACTACTGAGCTGTATGATGAATGATCTGTGCACTTTTACGTATGAATTATCTCAACCGAATTTATAAAAACGAAAGATTATTACCTGCTGTACTATTCTTTGTTCCAGCACATCAGATGTTACCTGTATATGAATTGTTCCTGCCACAATGCTGGCAGAATGACGCCAAAAGTGAGGGTCTCGATATGATATTAATCCTTCAATTTTCTGTATCTGTTAAATAAAAGGAGAGGTGATATAAATGTTCATACAGGCTAACTTACTTAACATAATGGGGATGCTTTGTGCTAGAAAGTAAACACAGATTCTTTGGTCTAGGAATCATTAGGGTAAAAAACAAGAAACAAAAGCCAGAAGCAGGAAGGAATAAGAGAAAGACAGCTAGCTTGAAGTAAAGGTTTCCTTCACTGCTATAATGTGTGATTTACCTATTGTAAACATCACCTCCACATGCAACCACACACAAGATAACATATTCAAAAGATATCCTCCATGTCCAACAATAGAGGGTCAGTTAAATTACTGGCTACCTATGCAATATAATGCAATAGTATTGTTAAAATTGTTAGATGCCAGGTACAGTGGCATACACCTGTAATCCCAGCTTCTTGCAAGGCTGACGCAGGAGAATGGAAAGGTTGAGCAATGTAGTGAGACTCTGTCTCAAAATTTTAAAAAAGATTGTAGATGTAGTTCTGTGAAGGCTGTGGGTTCAATTTTTAGTACTGTACTCCCTCTCCCAAAAAGTACTATTTATTAATTATGAGAAGATGAGAAAACTTTTCTAATTTTATTTATGAAATAAGGTGCTATTTATTTATTTATTTAAAGATGCTATAATTTAAACAGTCACAATGCTGCAACTGGGCCTGGGGGTGTAGGCTAGACGATAAAGCACATGCTCAGTATGCACAAGGACATGGGTTTGATCTCCAGCACACAAAAAAGAAAAAATTCAGAATGCCCACATTTCCTTCTTTTACAAAAATTAATTAAAAATTTTGTTTTCAGTATATGATTACATTCATTGCTATTGTTTCTTTTTATTTGCTTTTGTTTAAATCTTAATTGGCTTTATGTTCAATTGTAGAAACACACGTTATGGGCAACACTTCATCCTATAATCATGATGGTACCTTTTCAGCAGTAGATCCCAATTACTTTGATATGGCAAGCCATGTAGTTAAAATATCCTACTCTGTACTTGTTCTTTCTTTCTATCTATCTATCTATCTATCTATCTATCTATCTATCTATCTATCTGAGACAGTTTCTCTATGTAGGTGCGGTGGTATACATGTCTGATCCTAGCACCTGAGAGGCAGAGGTAGGAGGATCACTTAGCATTTGAGGCCAGCCTGACTACAAAATGAGTTTCAAGGCCAGCCTGAACTACACAGTGAGACACTGTCTCAAAAAACAAAAAACCACTCCAATGAAAACAAATAAATCTTTCCCTACTTTTGTAACTACAAAAACATTCTTGTATTTTAATAGTTTTGTAATTTTTTTTGTCATGTACATACTTAGCCTGTTAGAAATATATGGCATAGAGATAGTTTTTTGCTGGGCATGGTGGTGCTCGCCTTAGTCCCAGCACTTGTGAGACTGAGGCAGGAGGATTGCTGTTAGTTTGAGGCCAGCCTAGACTACAGAGTTCAAGACTAGCCTGAACTGCATACTGAAACCCTGTCTCAAAAAGACAAAATTCTCCCAAAACAAAAAACCAGAGAGAGAACAGTTTTTTTTTTTTTTAAGTCAACCATTACATATTTAGACCAAGGCTTACTGCCTCAGAGTAATGACTAGCAATCTCTAAGATAAAATGAAGATTCTATCACACGATAATTACACATTCAGTTATGGGACTGGCGTTATTAATGTCTGTTTAAAGGAAAAGCCAATCCATGCTTAAGTTTGAGTATAGTATTCTTTCCTTAGTAAGACCACATCTGAGGACAAGAAAAGAGGATGAAAGAGCCTGGTAGGAGGTGCCTGGGAATGTGGGGTGGGGAGGAAGGAGGGCTGTACAGAGCAAACGGGAAGGAGGGAACCTGAGGTAGGAGGCTGAAGGAGGAGTGAGGCTTCCAGGACCCCTGTGAGTTCCTGCCGGGCAAAGCCATCTTGGGAAATCACCATCAGGTGTAACGGGGTCGAGGCAGTGATGAGCAGGTTAACCCCAGTTCTCCGAACAGTGACAATGTGACATGACAAACGGGCCTGGGATTACAAACATACATGGATGGGAACAAATCCAGAAGTATTGCACTTGTCAGCCGGTAAAAACAGGTTATTTACAGTATTTTTGTGTATTTGGTTTTTTTTATGCTTTACATTGTATATGCACTTGTGTCAAAGGTGCAGTTGGGCTTAGGAAGGTTCTCTTGGTAAATAGGGACTTACTGTACTGACAACACATGCTGTAGAAGCCATGTCTGCAACACTGTAAAACCTATAGGGATACCACCTTGTAGTATTCATAAAGGTTTTTTTTTTTAAATTTTAAATTTTTATTTTTTTTTTGGTTTTTCTCCGGTACCGGACACCGAACTCACGACCTTGCGCATGCCAGGCAGGCGCTTTTGCTGCTGAGCTAAATCCCCAGCCCCTATTCATAAAGGTTTTAAAGGTCACAAAGCTTTCAAACAGCAATTGCCTCATCTGGCCCTAACAATGAGAACAGGCAGAGCACATGCCTTAGGTTAAGGTCAGTGATTTTGAAGTCTACATGACTGAGGCCCTGGTAAGCTACACAGCTGAGTCCTTCTGTACAGTCCTCTGGTCCAGCCTGTACAGTACAGTGGTGAAGAGTCTAGATCTGAAATCCAAACTGAGAGACTGATTAGAGTCTGCAACCCTAGGCTTTCAGTGTCTCCTCTGCAAAGTGGGATGTGGGAAGGAAATCTTGAGCAGCTGAGCACAGTGTCTGATGATTCTGCTAAAACTCAGGAGGTCTGGCTTGGGAGCTGAAGTTTCGAATGTCTAGCAGGCCCTGCAAGATGCTGCAGGGGCAGCCAGCTCTTACGTCTTTTTTTAAAAATTTATTTTCTATTTTTTTAAATTTAGCTCCTACGTCTCCACCCTCACTGCACTCCTGAGTGTGGGAGACCGAGCGCTGCAGGCAGCTACAGGGGGCAGTGCACCAAGCGGGCCCACCATGGACTTGGCCTGCACTTAAAACCCTGCCCAGTACACTGCTGAGGGAGGACCAGCACTACTCAGGTTTCATCCAGCTTCCTGTATTTTTCTGAAAACTCTGGAGTGCCTGGTCCAGAAAAGACTGGGACCAACAGGAAAAAAACTACTGCACCTGCTTCAGTCCTCCTAAGACAGTCAGTACTGCTTTTCTTTTCCACCAAATGGCAAGGTGGTACGCTGGCTGATTAGGCAAATATTTTTGTTTTGTTTTAATTTAGTTTTTCAAGACAGGGTCTCACTGTGTAGTGCAGGCTTGGCCTTGCACTCACACTAGGTAGCCCAGGCTGGCCTTGCACTTGTGGCAATCTTCCTTCTGGCCTCAGGCTGCCCAGTGCCAGGTGGCATGCGCCACCAGGTCCAGCCTAGCGAAGTTTATCACCAACATGAAATACCACCTGTGTCATATATTTAATTCCATTAATTCCTAGGTCTGCTTCTGAACAAACTATTTTTTTTCATGGTACTGGGGATTGAATCCATGGGTGTTTTACCACTGAGTTACATCTCTAGTCCTTTTAAAAATTTTATTTCAAGACAAGATTTCACTAAGTTTTCTAGTATAAACCAGTATGGTGGCACACACCTGTAATCCCAGTGTTTGGGAGACTGAGGCAGGAGGATCACCTCGAATTCGAGGCCAGCCTGGGCTACGTAAATGAGATTAAGGCCAGCCTGGACTTCATAGTGACCCCGTCTCACAAAAACCACACATACACAAAAAGTTTCCCAATTTAGTGCTGACTTTGTGATTCTCCTGTCTCAACCGCCCCTGTAGCTGGGATTACAGGCATGTACCAGCAGATCCTATAACTAGTATTTTTTAAAAAATGGATTTATGTGTTTATTCTTGTGGAAGGACAAAATATTAGCTTTGAATGTTAATTTTGTAACTTTAAAATTGGAAAAGAAGATCCTCCTAATTAATTCTACAAATTTATGGCTGCCTTTTTGTTTATTCTCAAATACTGATTCTTCCAAATCAGTTCCAAATAACACTGGATTATCTACCCTCCAGACAAACAAACCCTAATGAGAGGCAACTGAATTGAGACTTAGTAAAAAAGAAAATCAACATTTTCACAACAGTCTCCAGTCCAAGAAAGTGTCTCTCCAAACATTTAGCCAGTCCCTCTTTTATGTCCTTTAAATATAACTGCATTTTTTTCATTCACATTTTATATGTATGTATATGTATTTTCTTTATTCACACATTTGTTAGGCCAACTTAATTCTGAATGCCATTGTTATTTTTTGGTATCATGAATCGAACTCAGGATCTTGTGCCTCGCAGGCAGACACTGTGGCGCTGAGCTATATACCTGGCTATGAGTGCCATTTTTAAAAGGAAAAAGGTAGTGAAAAAATTTCATACAGTACCTTTTCCAAAGCAGCGTGTAGTTCTTTCTCATGTTCTGGTGGCAGCCTCAGAAGCAGAACCTGACAGGCATCTTTAATCAGTGGGACAACACTGAGAAATATTAATACAGCAATAAAAAGAGAACAGAGGGGATCGGCAACGAACCACCCGAACTGCTCTATCAGAACTGTAGACACGATCACACCAATACTGCCAAGCGTGTCTGCCAAAACATGTAGAAATACACCTACAGATAAAATATATAAGAACATTAAAAATTAAAAGGCATCTAACTGAATTTTTTCACCCATTCTACCAATATTGCTGGGTATCTACCAGGCACCACGCACGTTGTTGGTGGCTGGTAATTCAAAGTGACTAAGACAGGGTCACAGTTTCAAAGCATTCTGAGCCAGTGAAAAGGTCCTAAGGATGTGGGCAAGCTAAGGATACAGTGTGGTGAGTCTGAAGGCTCTGGTTTGTCGGGAAAGGCATCAAAAACTCATACTTGAATCAGTTTTTGATTTACGCAAGTTCTTTATATTAAACAGTCAGGGAGAAGAGATTAATAAACCCCCGTATTTTTTATAGTACAACATCTCTTTCCCTTTTTAGTGAAAGCTCATAATGGCACACTTCAGTCTTCCCCTGCAACCAGTATTTATTCAGCTGTCACCTTGGCTGCCCTGGGGCTGAGGTGGTAGCTCAGTGGTAGAGGTGTTACTCTTCCAGACAAGCTTGAGGGTCTGGATTATTCCTCAGCATTACAGAACACAATGACTCTATAATTACAGCAATTTATTTAAAGATGGAACTTACGAACAAATGCATTCTTTCTCCCTCGGTCCCTGTCATCTCCTCTCCCTCCTTCCTTCCTCCGTCCCTCTCTCCCTGCCTGCCTCCTTCCTCCTTTTTCTTTTTTTTTGTGGAGATCAAACCCAGGCCCTCATGCTTGCTTAGGTAGGCACCACACTACGGAGCTCCATGCCCAGCCCCTTCATTTTCATTTTTCCTTTACTGTGGTGAGACTTCACATGAGCCTCTTGATGACATTACACATGCTCGGTGCTTAGAGACACAATGTTGTACAGCAGATCTCCGAAGATGACCTTGCTTAACTGAAAACTTTAGCCTGCTGACTAGTGACCTTCATTTCTCTCTCTCTAGTCACCACTGCTCCATGCTTTGATTCTATGAATGTCGTCACATAGGAGTGGAATCATGTAGTAACTGTCTTTCTGCAACAAGCTTATTTCACATACCATAATCTCCCCCAGGGTCATCCATGTTGTTGAATATTACAGAATTTCCTTCTTTTTAAAGGTTAAGTAATATTCCATTTTACTTACACAAGCATGTGTATTTTCTATAGCACATGACTTTAGACCTATTTTTGGGCCACATACTTTTTTTTTTTTTTTTTTGAGAAAAGGTCTAACTATGTAGTCCAGGCTGGCACTGAACTTGCCATGTGGCACAGGCTGGCTTCAAATTTGCCATCCTCTTGCCTCCACTTCCTTAGTGCTGAGACTACAGGCATGTGCTACCATGCCTGACTGCCACATATTGCTTTTTAAAAATGCAGCTGTGTAAGACGGCCAATATTTAATAAAAACAAACCCAGCAGCAATTGAGAACACAGGTGAAAGGCAAGGCAGTGCTCTGCAAGGACTCACCCCTCATGTTAGCATTCATGCCTCCGCCTGAGGGTCCATGGCTGTGACTGTGCCCATGGTCACTGTGTCCATGTGTGTGCTGTGAGTGGCTGTGATCAGATGAGTGACAGCCTCCTTGAGAAGCTCCATGGCTGTGGCTGTGGGCATGGCTAAAGGCACAGATACCAATAAGGTTTACGATCAGCCCTCCAACTGACACTGGCTAGCAAAAGGAGAAAAAGAAATCTCTCAATTTGTAATTTAAAAAATAAACTTGCTATTTAAAATTATACAGCTATATGTTTTTGTTAGTACTTTTGAAAATATTTGCAGTGAAACCTAAGTTCCATAAGTACAAAATGTTAAAATGTGAATTTTAGAAGAATCATTTTAACTTTCAAATACCAAACAAAAGCGACAAATTCAGATTTACTTTAAATAAGTGATTAAAAATGGTATGTATCTGGTTCATGGCTTATGTATAAATAAATCATGCAAAGTTTTTGTTTATCTAAAGAGTCTGAAAGTACTATTCACTATGGCAAGTACACACTGCATTTCAAATCTTGCTTCTATAACTAGGTAAACGTCAACAGCCTGTACGATAATGACTGCAATACATTAACTAGTGGGTTATAAATAGTCTACTTTGCCTTCTATTTTTTAATTTTTTAGTTTGTCTTTTGAGACAGGGTCCAGCTAACTGCACAGGCTGCCTTGCATTTCCCATCCTCCTGCCTCAGCCTTCTGAGCAGCTCTGATCACACTATGCGCCACCATGCCTGGCCTTACTGTGCCGTATACTAAAATTTTCTGTAGTAAAAAAGGTATAATGAAAATGTAACATACAGTAGCAATCTCTCAAATTGTTTTAACAAAGTGAATAAAATTATCTGAACTTAAGAGTGCCCCAATAATACTCCAAAGGATAAACAGTTACCTTTGATTATCCTCTTCCATAAAATTATTTTGAATAGTAGCTCACTGTACTAATTTACATTTATCTATAGTTTTGTCCTTTAGAGAAATCAATTTGTTTTACAAAAAGCAAATATAAAAATGAAGGATACAAACAATTTTAACCATTTTTCAGCATAGTAAAGAGATTTACTTGACATATATGGGGCTTATTTACTTTTTTTTTTTCTTATTTACTTCTTGTGACTCAGACTACTAGTCTGCCAGAATTTAAAATTTCAGTTAGCTTTATAAGTTTGTTATGAGTTAATGAGTCTGAATGAAATCAAATACTGCTTACAGAAACTCTATCATCTTATAAATATTTTTCTATTGAGAAATATTTCATTTTTACATATTTCATAAGAAAAAGAAAGGGGAGGTGAAAGTCCCCTGTAATTCTACCCTCAAGAGTTACTTCCTTCTAAGAGAATACTGTATCTTCTATGTATACACTAATATACACATATACATTTTTTTGGGGTCTTTTTGAGACGGGGTCTCACTATGCAGTTCAGGCTGGCCTTGCACTCACTTTGTAGCTTAGGCTGGTCTTGAACTTGCAATGATCTTCGCGCTTCAGCCTCCTGAGTGCTGGGATTACAGGCTTTATAGGCATGCGCCACCACGCCCGGCTCACATTTTAAAACCAATAAAAGAACTGCATTGTTATTTTGCAATTGTACACTCCGTACATCTTGTAGATAGTTTTCATGCCAGTACCTATCTCATTCTTTATAGGAGCTATATACTATTCTATTATATGGACAAGAAACTTAACTAATCCTTTCACTGGTTCACACTTTATTTCCATTTTTTTCCACTATTATAAACACTGGTACAACAAATCATGTACTACTAAATATTTGTGTACACATTTCTGTGTGATGTTTTCCTTTCTGGCGCTGGGGATCGAACTCATGGCCTTACACAGGCTAACATAAGACCTCCTCTCTTGGTGCTTCTGTTCGGTGAACACTGAAGGTTAGAAGGCGTGGGCACTGCCTTGTGTGGTGGCACATGCCTGTAATACCAGTTAACTGGGAGGCTAAAAGAGGGTCATAAATTTGAGGCCAGACCTTGTCTCAAAAAATAAAAAGGGCTTTGGGATACAACTCAGTGCTTCCTGGGTTCAAGGTCTCATACTATTAAAAAAAGAAATGAGCATTTATGTATTTCTAAACTGTATTCCAAAAACATTTAGTACTAATGTATGCTTCCAGGAACAAGATTCAGAACTCCTTTTAGGCATTTGACAATTAATTGCTATCTTTTCCTATTATAGAGCATATGATACCATTAAAGAGTTAATGATACACAACTCAAGTCCTAAATTAAGACACATTGTCATTGTGAAAGAACGACTAATCAAACAACGGCAAAAATGCTGCTAAAAGGAGAATGCGCAAGGTTCACTGGGAACATCATGGGCAGGAATAACTAACTGGGATGGAATATGAGGCAGGAGTGCTTAAGGGCACAGGAACAGGTGAGCAAAATCCTGCAGGAGGCCCTAGGGTAGGAGTGGGGTGGTGCCTGCCAGCTAATGCAAACAGCGGGCAGGAAGGTGTGGAAGCACGGGGAGAACATCACACACTTCTACAGCAGTGAAATAAACTATGGAGTTAAGACCTTCAAAATTAAAATTTTTTTTTCTGATTTTATCTGACATTATACAAATTTCCTCAGGTATTTATTTATTTATTGGTACCAGGAAGCGAACTCAGGACCTTAGGCTTGCCAGGTAGGCACCTGTGCAACTGAGCTAAATCCCTGGCCCACCTCAGGTATTTAAAAATACATCTCCAAACAAAAACATTTAAAAAAGTCAGAAACCTATATTGTATGCTTTATAATATACTATAATATTTTAACTACTAAAATATTAGGGAAAAAGATTAATTAATTTCTAAGATTTAGCAATTCAAATATCAATAGTCTTTCCTTATTCTGAGGGGATATGTTAAGACCACCAGTGATCCCAGCACTACCAAAGAGAAGAGAAAGACCCCCAGCAGATGTCTGAAACCATGAAATATCAAACCCTCTATATATACTGCATCTTTTCCTACACATATATGCTCATGATACAGTTTATTTGTACGTTAGCCACAATTTTAACAGCAATAGCTAATAATGCAGTCTAACAATTATAAACATTTTAAACCAGTTAAACTTTGGAATTATTAGCTGGGCGTGGTGGTGCACGTCTGTAATCCCAGCACTTGGGAGGCTGAGGCAGGAGGATCACTGTGAGTTTGAGGCCAGCCTGGGCTATACAGTGACTTCAAGGACAGCCTGGACTATGTAGTGAAAAACTGTCTCTAAACAAAACAAAACAAAACAAAACAGAATGAAACAAGACAAAACAACAAACACACACTTTGGAATTATTTATATAATTTTCTGTTTAATATTTTCAGACCATGGTTAATTGTAGTTAACTAAAGCTGCAGATGGAAAAACCATGGGATAAGGGACAGATACTATGTAGCAAGAAAGGCAGTTGTTGGTTTCAATAAAACTAAAATAAAACCTTCTACATCACAGAACACAACTAGAAAAATTATGTAAGTATAGGTAGAAATTCAAATAGGAAAAGCAAAAGACTTACTGTCAACATGTTTGTGTCTAATTCCGGAGGATCAATCAATCTAGCCACTGACTCCATAAATACAAAAAAAGCTATTACTATTAGAAAAAGTCCATTAATGAATCCAGAGAGAATTTCTATTCGGCCATACCTAAGAACACAGCAATTTTTAGAAAAAGAAAATAAGTACTTCATATTGTAGTATAAACATTACTATTTTGGGGCTGGGGATTTAGCTTAGTGGCATAGCGCCCGCCTGGCAAGTGCAAGGTTGTGCGCTCGATTCCCGGTACCGGAAAAAAACCAAAAACCAAAACAAAACATTACTATTTTACAAATGAGGAAACAAGTCCAGATTTTCAAATGACTACATAAATAACAGAAAATTATTAATACTTAAGTATCATATTGATGTTGGGAAGTCCTTCCACACATGTATCTATTGAAATTTTATATATTCAAAGTCCTTCTTACAAAATTTTTTTCCTAATTCTTAGCAAGAAGTTATTTCTCTCTTCTTTAAACCCTTGATGTGCTCTGTATCTGACATGGAACATAGATCTTTGCTTTGTACCAAAATCATTTGTACTTCTGGTTCATCTAAAGTTAAAGATATAACCAGTTGAGAGTAAGAGCCAAATTTATTAATTTAGTGTTCTTATCAAAATACCTTGCACAAAAATGATTCTGATATTACTGTATTAATGAACATTTTTATGTATAGCCCCTTCAAAAAAAGCCTTTTTTTTTTTAAAACCGGGAATTATACTCAGGACCTCATGCTTGCCAGGCAGCTGCTCCACTGATGAGCTACATCCCCTGTACGCCCCTTTAAATTTTGAATATTCTTTTTAACAAAAACAAAGTTAAACAGTCTTTTAAACAACCATGTATATTCCATTTCCTAAAAAACCAAAAAAACTAAACCCACCTTGGGCAAAGATCTTAAGATTTTTAGCTGTTCTTTTTGCTCTTTGTCTATGAAAAGGATCAACTAGGGAGTTTAACCTTGAGCTTACTATCATTCAGTGTTTATCAAATGCTTCGTTATATCCCCTCATCTGGTTTAAACAAAGAAAAATGAAGACCTGGAAGTTATTTCCATAAAAAGTAATATTTTTATCCCCTTACTTGGAATTTGCACCTTGGTTTTTCACTGTACCATGTTATTTTGATAGCCAGTGTACCTACCCATAGGAAAAAATCCGAGTTGCTTTCCATCGACTCATCAGAGCAGCAAAAAGTCCCATGACCAAAGCAGAGCAATCAAAGAGCATGTGGAACCCATCTGAGATGAGACCCAGACTATTGGTCAACACGCCATAGAATAATTCCACAAAGGTAAAGAGCTAAAAAAATGTTAAAAAAAATATTAGAGCAGTATGTTGGGAAATACAACAGTGATTTAAGATGTGTCAGAATTTAATCATGAGAATTTTAAACTTTAATTACCAAAACTTTGGACGATCTGTTCAAAATCCGCTTTAGTTAACTGCCACTTACATTAGAAACCTTATTTTGTATAAATTGTAATAAACTATGCCAAATTAGATATATTCATTTTACAAGCTATTTAAAAGGAGGCATGGTAGTTTTACTTATATCTTCGAAAACCAATAAATGAGGCTGTAAAATGTTAGCGATCCTATGAAAGGATAAAATGTCTGAAAAGCTACTTCATTTATGGATTCAAAATAACATAGTGAATGCTTCCACAGTATCTTGTTTGCTTTAGTCTGGATATGGTCCTGTGATCCTGACACTACTTAAGAGAAAATAGAAATTTCAGCCCATCTCTAATTATCAGAAATCTGTGAAGTACTAAAATGATACCATTTTTTTTTTTTTTTTTGCTACCGGGAATCAAACTCAGGACCTTGCGCTTGCCAGGCAGGCGCTTGTGCTGCTGAGTCTATATCCCTGGCCCTAAAATGATATCATTCTGTCAAAATTAAAATACTGATCTTTTAAGACATGCCACTAATACTTAAAAAGCTTACCAGATTCAAGCACAGGAAGTAAAAGATCTGCCTAGAGTCACTCTCCTCAAGAATCTGCTTTAGTGATTCCTTAATAAACCTAGGGATTGATTGAGAGCTATGCTGAAAAGCATCACCCATGAAGTTATAAAGAGGTGTTCCTTCAGGAGAATATCCAATAAGGGTACCTTTCTGTCCTCTCTTAGAGGGAGACGACAAGATGTTGGCAGCTACAAAGAGAAAAGAAGTATATTACAGAAGTTTTAAAAAGTTAAAGCTACCAAAAACCAATACAATAACTGTCAGCAAGCAACGAAATGCAAGCATGAACAATTTCCACAACTGAGTAATGATCTGAACATCAGGTTCCATAAAAAGAAATTTGTAAAAATAAAAACACGGGGAAAATGCTTACACAGAATGAAGAACACAGCACTCACAACCACTCCTCCAGACAGGACATGCTCCGTGCTCTCCTGGTGTGTGGCTCTGTTCATAGCCCGAAGCTGGTCTGTTATTGGGTGTGTCCAAAAATTTCCAAAAAGGAGAGCACTAATAAATATGGGAAATGATCCATAGCGGGCACAACTGGAAACCTCCATTTTGGATGAACAAATAGAATCCACATAGAAATCCAGGATCATAACAAAAAAGATAACCGTTGTGAAAGGCATAATGAGAGAAAACCAAGATGCAACTTTACTCTAGAAAATTAAAAACAAACAGAAACTCGTCAATACTCTCTCTATATATATATGAAGTTCACACTTTACAAGGTGTTTTTGTTAATCCTTTTATGTATAAACAAATATTCTCATGATTCATAAAATGCTAACATATAAGCAATACAAGATATTGGTACATTTCTCCACTATTTCCTTTTTTTTTTTTTTTTTTTTTTTTTTCCGGTACCGGGAACCGAACTCACGACCTTGAGCTTGCCAGGCAGGCGCTTTGCCGCTGAGCTAAATCCCCAGCCCCTCTCCACTATTTCCTAAAGTATTTAAATGAAAATACTGTTGAATAATTTTATAAATGCTAGGTAATCTATAATCCCTGAGCCTAAGACAGACTTTTTTTCAAGTAATTCCTTTGGGCCACAGGAATGTGAAGGATGCATTAATGCAATAGTATCTGACTTATATTTTTTATAAACAATAAAATTAGCTCCAAATTACAAAACTACAAAGGAAAAGCAAAGATACCTTAAGCCACTTTCAATCATAATTTACAACAAAATACAATCTACTGAACAGAACTGGGAGTGGTGGTGCATGCCTATAATTCTAGCACTTGGGAGGCTGAGGCAGAAGGATCAGAGTTCTAGTCAGGCCTGGGCTACACAATGAGTTCAGAGCAAGACTCTTGTCTCAAAACAAACAAATAACCCCCAAAACCATCCCCTAAAACAAACAAAAAAGTGTTAAACAGAAATTTGTAAGTAACAGTAATTTATTTATTACCAATACATTCTTGCTCTTACCTCAGTTGTCACAGAAAGGACGAAGACCCATGGGCACAAGAGAAGCACAGACACAAGATGGGATAAAGCCTGGAGCCGTTTGGCTCCACCCACATCTATACAGAGCTTTCTGGAAGCTGTATGAAAACCAACTTTACAACACAAAGCCAGTACTAGCAACAGTACTCCACCCTGTAAGTAAAATGAGAAGTCTCATCAGCAATACAGACACTATTCAATCCTTAGATCTATGGAACCAGTGTTTTTTTTTCACATCCTCAATTACTTTACTACTTAAATGACAAGGCATATTGAAATTAGTGGTAACTTATTTTACTTAACTAAAAAAAAAAAGGTTTTTTATAGGGCAGAGAATCCAACCCAGAGCCTTGTGGATGGTAGGCAAGTGGGCCACTACTGAGCTATACACTGTGACAATTACTTTCCTTTTTTTTTGGTATTGGGAATCAAACTCACGACTTTGCCCTTACCAGGCAGGTGCTGTGCCAGTGAGTGACATCCCTGGCCCACAGTGACAATTTAATTTAAATGCACCTAGCCAGGTATGGTGGTGCACACCTATCATCCCAGTACATGACAGGAGGCGCTCCATGAGTTTGAGGCCAGCCTGAGCTACAGTGAGTTCAAAGTCAGTCTCAACTACTGAGACCTTGTCTCAAAACAAAAACAAAGTTATAGCTGCTGTTACTTTTCAGAATCTTTTGATCACATTAGCAACAGAACATACCTTGTGATCTGCCACACCTAAGAAGGCAATTGCTGTATAAAGCATGTGAGTTAGAGCGCTGTCATGATGTCCTTCAGCTAAGGGAATGATAGTAAAGGAAAAAATTCCAAATATTAACTCTGTGAAGCTTAAAGTCCTCTTGAAATTTTAGCTACATTATTTTGGTTTGCATGCAGAATGGTGCCCCAAACCTGAATAACTTAATGTTTCTCTTAAAAATGAAAGCATATAATCTAAAACTCTTGCAAATAATTACGTTGGAATGGCTTATGTTTCTTTTGTTGTCTCCAAAACAAGTACAGTAATGGCTAAATTTTAGTACTTCACCTCCATACATGCACTGTTTGACAACGGGACAAGTGAAAGTCCCTGAACCACTCCTGTCTAGCAGAATTCAAGTTGTATCTTACACTAACGTAAAATCAGTCTTTTTTTTTTTTTTAGACAGGGTCTTACTATGTAGTTTAGGCTGGCCTGAACACTATGTAGCTGAGGCTGGCCTTGAGCTCATGGGAATCCTCCTGCCTTTACCTCCCCAGTGCTGTGATTACAGGCATGCACCACCACACCCGGCCAGTAAAATCAGTCTTGAACTTGTCACCTAAGTCAGTGACCATGTACGCCCCAGCTAGGCAAGCAGCAAGTAAAAGTGGATGGGTGGGAAATATACGTTATATCACAAGCAACCTGGAGCTTTATTAAAGTCATGCTTCCCTCTCTCATTGTGACAAAGTAATTATTATCTTACTCATAAGATCTTAGGGCAGGGGCTGGGGATTTAGCTCAGTGGCAAAGCGCTTGCCTGGCAAGCGCAAGGTCGTGAGTTCGGTTCCCGGTACCGGAGAAAAACAAAACAACAACAACAACAACAACAAAAAGATCTTAGGGCAATCACATCAGTAGCCAGAAGAGCCAAAATGGGTGCTTTGAATTCTCCTCATTGCAGCAATGGCATGCAGACAGGAAATAAGGCATAAATAAAGTCAGAATAAAGTCAGTAGACGTATTTGACCAGAGAGAGAGATTTATATGAGATGACTGGAGGAGTTGAACTGGCAGGAATAATTTAGAGTAAGAAAGTAAAAACTAGATGAGAAAACTGTATTGTAGCACACCAGGGTATTCTAATACATCCTTCAATGTCTGAATTTCTGAACTTCTGGGTACTGTTGACAATACCACATGCTCTAAAACATTTAACAGAATGAAACTGTTCACTATTTGAATAATGAAGATGTCTACATTAATCTACGGAAGTTTCATTCCTGAGTGATCAGTTTAGCTCATTCAAGTCTTCTCTCCATTCTGCAGTCTTCGATTATTCTGTGAGTCTTTATATAATTCCCATCTGCTGCAAAAGGATACGGTGCTCAGCCATTTTAGCCATGAGATCATCATTGTCAAAAAGCAACAAACAGATTACAGCAATAATGAAAAAAGCAGCTCCTCTGGTCTGAAAATGAAGAAAAAACACAAAGGATAGCTTTTTCAAAGGTTGATTTTTAATATGACAACTACAGAAATGCTACAGAGAAACATTACAAAAAAACCAACATTTAAAGAAAAAATAACATGACATTAAAGTCCTTATATATTTACAGTACTAACAGAAAGATATAAAAATAAAGTGATTCAATAAATTCTGCAGGATATTCAAGATACCTAATATCGACAACGTAAACTATGTCCTTGTTAACATGGCTAGGCATGAACAAAGTTCACAGAATCAGTCTTCCTAAATGTTACTTTAAATCTGGTTGAAAGCCCCAACTAGTTAAAGAATAATTAGCAGGGACTTATTATACTATATAACATGCAAGGGATAGAGGCTATTATAGTTTCTACTCATTATAAGGAAGAACAATCATGAGGCTATGTTAAGAAAATCAGCAGTCATTTTTAAGATCCAGTGAAGGCGTAAAACACTCAAACTGGTAAGCTTTTAAAGTTTATGTTCTCATTTTAGGGAAAGAATTTTGACAAAATTATAGAAAGGACATACTAGCCTCATTTATGTAAATATTTCTGAAAGTTGGGGTAAAAAATTAAACTATCATTACTATACAGTTTATATTTATGAATTTATAGATACTTCCTATATAATATGTACACCTATAATACTGTATATATAATACTCCATATATATTTATATGTAAGTATATTACAAATACTTATACTGGGTTGGGCATGGTGGCACATGCCTGCAATTCCAGCACTTGGGAGGCTGAGACAGGAGGATCGAGGTGAGTTTGTGGCCTGCCTAGGTTACATAAAGGGTTTTCATTTTTTTTTTGTTTTGTCTGGGCTACATAAAGGGAGTTTAAGGTCAGCCTGCACTACATAGCAAGACCCTGTCTCAAAAAACTGAAAGATCACTAAAATACAGTGACAATAATAATCTCTTACTAAAAAATAGGGCAACTGAGAGTTGTGCTTTGGAATCATAGGAAAGAAAATCACGACACTTCTGGACAGATCTCTGATTATTGAAAGGATATGGAAGATCTATACTTTTATATTTGATCATTAGTGCTGTCAAACTTTATTTTTTTGAATTTGTATTTTTCAAATGTATTTTTATTCCAGCATATTTTTTTTTTCCCGGTACCAGGAATCAAACTCACAACCTCACACTTGCCAGGCAGGCGCTGTGCTGCTGAGCTAAATCCCCACCCCCTTATTCCAGCATATTAATTTTCCAAGATATTAAGTTTCACTGTGGTATATTTTCATACATGCATATAACATAATCTGATTGTACCCACACATCCCCATTACCCTCCCTTACACCTCCCTATTTGTCTAATAATAATTTCCCTTCTGCTTTCCTGTCTTTTTTTTTTTTTTTTTTTAAAAGATACCACATATTAGGGAACACTATTTCTTTTGTGGAACTTAAGTGTTTTTCTTAACTGATGTGACTGATATTCTAAAAGAAATGTAAAACTTTACTTGTGGTCATGTCTGTAGTTAAGCTTCCCCCATTGCTTTAACGCTCAGAAAGTTCTTTTCTACTTTATACTGTAGATTATTTTATTGTACGTTAAGACTTTGTGTGTGTGTGGCACTAGGGATTGAACCCAAGGCCTTTGAAATGATACAGACCCTGTCTCAAAACAAAACAGCCTGGCCATTTTTAAATTTATTTTGAGACAGTGCCTGTGTTGTCCTGTCTGGGCTTGAACTTGCAATCCTCCTGCCTCAGCCTCCTAGAGTGCTAGGATTACAGGCACACATTGCCATATTCAGCTTTTTTTTTTTTTTAAACACACAAAACTCTAATGCACTTGAAATTCTGGAGTGCTCCATGAGTGAGGGGCAAGGACAAAATGGTTGCCTGTGCTTTAATATTAATCACCCAGTCTGAGCGCCAGGGGCTTTCTCACTGTGCTCTAGCTGGCAAGTTACTTTGTTCTCCTGTTTCATTCTTCTCTCCATATTTCTTAGCTCTGACACTCCCTTGATGAACAGAGGTTACTATCTTTGCCTTTACTTCTCTTCTCCTGTGCGTAGGACAGTGCGCCACATGTAGGAAAATTTTAGTTTGGTAAAACAGAAACACTGGCTCCCAGTTTAGAATGGTAGATTTGCAACTTATTTTACCAAAGGGGGTAACAGTTGAATTACTTAAGGTGCACAGGGATGCTAACTGGTAAAATACTGCATAAACGTTCATCAGACTTTTTTTAATTAAAAATTTTTATGAATAAATGTTTGTAGTACACAATGCTTACATTTCTTGTGTGGAGTTGGTACATATATGTGACACATCTTGATTCTTTTCACATCCTCTCCCCTCTGCCCCCTCTCGACAATCTCTTCATCCTCTTCCTCTCTGAGAAAGATCTAGCTCCCTACTTCCTAGTATCTGTTTTTATTTTGCTTTTTATTTATAATTTTGGTTTCTCATGTTAAGAGAAGCCATGCAATATTTAAGCCTGTGTGTCTGATTTATCTTACTTAACATTCCTGTCTCAAGGTGCATCCGTTTTCCTACAAGTGACTCAAGTTTATCTTTCTTATGGCAGAGTAGTACCCCACGCTGTGTAAATACCACATTTTCTGTATCCATTCATCTGCTGATAGACATAAAGGCCACTTCCTAGATTTAGGTATTATGAATTGTGCTGCTATAAACATGGGTGTGCATGGATCACTGTAATATGATGTCTAACTCTTTCAGGAAGATACATAGAAGGGGAACAGCTGAGTCAAATGGAATTCTATTTTGTTTTTTGAGGAATTTCCGTAATGGTTGCACTAGTTTGCATTCCCACCAAAAATGTAGAATGGTTCAACTTTTCCCCTGCAGTCTCTCCACATTTGTTATTGTGTGATTTCTTAAAGATAGCCATTTTTTCTGGGGTAAGATAAAATCTCAGCATTGTTTTAATTTGGATTTCTCTAATGGCCAGTAAAGCTGAGTATTTTTTCATGTATTTATTGGTCATTTGTACTCAGACTTTACGTATTTATTTAGTTTTTTTTTGGAGACAGGGTCTCTCTATGTAGTTCAGGCTGGCCTTGAACTTGTAGTGATCCTCTTACCTCAGCCTCCTGAGTGCTGGGATTACAGGTGAGTACCAAGGACTCAGACTTTAAGTAGAACAAATTCATAGGTATTTCCCAAAAACAACTTGATGAAGAAGGAGGTGGGAAAGGGGCACAAGGATCTTTGTGGTGAGGTGTCAGTTTGGTATCTTGGGTGTAGTGGTGACACACAAGCCTGTACTTACCCAACTGAATGTGAAATTGATGTAACCTGAAAAAGGTCTGTGGATTGTACTGATGTCAATTTCCTGGTTTTAACAGTGTACTTTTGTTGGGTAAGAAGCTACCTTTAGGGGAAACTGAGTGAAAGAAACATCGATTTTTGCAATGTCTAAGGAATCTATAATCATTTTAAAATAAAAAGTAAAAAGAGGAGAAATGTTTTTATAAGAAAAATGGAGAACTAGTGTAAAGCACCCCTGTATTATTACACAATGTTAAAAGATCGTTTTACTTTTGATATTTTACAACTATGCTTTTCATTTCCAAGTCATTGATAATGGAAAATTTTACCTTTGCTGGTCCTCCTCCAGAACTAGTGAACAAAACACTGAGTAATGAGATGACAACAATGTCACTGTGTTCAAATAACAGCAGAGTCCTACAAAGACAGAACATTATAATTCACGGAATGTATCTCATCTTTATCACGAACGATGACTTCACCTCCAGTAGAAGTATCTCCCTTGGTCTCATAAATATTATGAGAAAATTAGGTAGGTCCAATTACCTGGGGAAATATTTGCTATTATTTACTTTAGAGAAGTTGAAGCTAAAAACACCCAACAACATTACTCCTAGGACTGTATTATGCAGAAAATACTTAAAAGGCTGCTCATATCAGCACTGCTTGCTGTGGGCCACAATGAGAAAGAACGTACATATCTACCAAGAGAATAAATGATATAGACTGGAGTATTTCAAGGAACAGACTATCATAAAGCAGTAAGAATTAATGGTATTTTATGAACATACAAAAAATACTGAATTTTACACTGAAATTAATTAATTTTTTGTGGTGCTGGGGATCAAAAGGGCATGTGTGCAAGCTAGGCAAGCATGCTACCACGGAACCAGACTCCTAGTCCCCTAATTTTTTTTTTTTTTGAGACAGATCTTCCTCTGTTACCCTGGCTGGCATTGAACCCCTGGAGTCAACTGATCTGCCTCAGCCTTCTGAGTAGCTGGGACAGCTGTGTGTAACAGCAACTAGCTCTGAAAAGAGTACACTTCAAAAAGGTAAATTTACACATATATAAATTATATTTTTAAAAAACTATAAGCTTGTGTGGTGGCACACATCTGTAACCACAGTACTTGCGAGGCTGTAGCAGGAGGATTGCCGTGAGTTGGAGACCAGCCTGGACTACATAGTAAGTTTAAGGCCAGCCTAAACTGCAATATGAAGACCCTACCTGGAAAAACAAAACAAAACAAAAAACCAAACCAAACCAAACCAAACCAACAATCAAAAGCAAAACCAAAAACCCACTCTAAAAATGAATACCTATATAGTACATGTATCAAATGTGCAAATCTCAAATGTAACACTGAATGGGACAAGCACACTGCAGAAAAATACATGCACTGTGATTCCATTAAGGTTAAAAACTTGCCACATTAAACACTGAAAAAAAAAAAAAGTAAAACTCTAAAGACAATCAAAAGAATGAAAAACAAAAGATAGTGTTTATATCCAAAGGCAGTGAAGAGGTGGCTCAGATACAGTTAGGAAAGGCACACAGGGTTTCAAAGGTATTGATAAGGTTTATTTTTATTTAGTTTTGTTTTTTTGAGACAGGGTTTTGTGTGTAGTTCAGGCTGGTCCTGAACTCACTATGTAGCCTAGGCTGGCCTTGAACTTGCGGTGATCCTCCTGCCTCAGTCTCCCGAGAGCTGGGATTACAGGTGTGCACCACCAATGCCTGGGTGGTAAAGTTTTATTTTGGTGGTTCAATGTTACATAACACTGATGTTCATTTTATTATTCTTTAAATATCTTTTTTTTTTTTTGAGACAGGGTCTCACTATGTAGTTTAGGTTGGCCTTGAAATCACTATATAGCCCAGGCTGTCCTTGAACTCATGGTGATCCTACTGCCTTGGTCTCCTAGTCCTGGGATTACAGATATGCACCATCATGCCTGGCTTTTAAACATCTTTATACCTATATTTATTTATTGTTCTTATGTATATAAATATTTCTTTGAAAAAATTAAATATCACAAGCCAAAAGGAGGTACATGCGATCTGAACGGTAATAGATTTCCATCTGCTTATTAAATGCATTTTCATTTTTCTCATTAGCCAAAAAACTGTAATGAGAACACACCGAAGATAATTTAAGAAAATACATATATCAATAATAATACCTAAAATAAGACAAACTATGAAGCACCAAAGGAGCGTTTTGTTTTGTTTGGGCAGTACTGAGGACTGAACCCAGGGTGCTCTACGACCGAGCTCCACCCCCAGCCCTTTTTATTTTCAGCAAGTCTCACGAAGTTGCCTAGGATGGCCTAGAACTTATGACTCTCCTGCCTGACTGCAAAGGAGCTGGGATTACAGGTGCACACCCCCGTGCTGGCCACCAAAAGAGTCTTTCTCATCAAGAAACTGCATTATGGTTTTAGTAAAAGACTGAAAAGGGCAGCACTGGTGGTCATAAGAGGTTGTAAAGGTGAGAAGTAGATGACTAAGTAACGGGCCAAGTAAGAACGTAAGGATTTCCTAATACATCAGGACAGTGATTTAGTAACATGAACGAAAGCATAAATTCATGAGTGAGAAACTTAAAACTGCAGATGATGAGAAACAGCATTCAATTACACTCAGGCGTAAACTGAAACGTTTTACCCAAGCTTGAGCCAGCTTTCCCACCCCTTTAGGACGCTGCTGCTACTGTCCACAGGGACAGGTACCTGCATTTATGCATACTCTGCACCTGCCGAAGCACAGGACAAACAAGCCAGCGGGACTCTAGCGGCCATGAGAGGGAAAAGGACTTTTCACAGGAATTTCCCAACCACCACCTTTTACTCAGCCCACTCCTCTGTTCTGAGGGAAGGACTTTTTTTTTCCTTTTTGAGACAGGGTCTCGCTGTGCAGTTCATAGGTTGTTTTATTTATTTATTTTTTTTTTTCTGGTACCAGGAATCGAACTCACGACCTTGCACTTGCCAGGCAGGTGCTGTGCCGCTGAGCTAAATCCCCAGCCCCTTCGCTGTGTAGTTCAGGCTGAGCTTGAGCTCACTTTGTAGCCCAGGCTATCCTGGAACTCGCAACGATCATCCTGCCTCAGCCTCCTGAGTGCTGGGATTACTGGCGTCCGCCACCACGCCCAGCCTGAGGGAAGGACTTTAAAACACCTTCACTGATGTTCACCTGTCGTGCTTTGCATTTTACGCATCATGTGCTTTATGCATCCTTCACAGTGTGCTGGGCATGGTGCACACGTCTATAATCCCAGCATGTCCAAGGCTGAGGTGGGGGGACAGTAAGAGTTCGAGGCCAGCCTGGACTACACAGCAAGACCCTGTCTCTAAAAACAAAACCAAACCCAAAAAATCCTTCACTTTAGTCTTTTAAAAAATTTATTTTTATTAGTACATGTTTGCAGTACATGACAGTTACATTCACTGTGGGCAGTTGGTACACATATATAAGGCACGTCAGTTATTTATAGGTCGCCTTCCCTTCCCCTGCCCCTTCCCTTCCCCTGCCCCTTCCCTTCCTCCTTCATTTTACTCTTTATCTCTCTTATCAATGTCAATTTTTTAAAACATTTACCAATACAATCTTTCAGAAATAGAGAAATAAAAGAATGCTTTTCACAGTTTCATGTTTCCTATAAAGTGGCCCTTAAGCATTCCTCACTAAACTGGCCCATACGTGCATGATGATTACACACAGATCTAGAGGAACAGAAAATGAGTCTAATCAACCTACCACAGGGCTACATAATCCTGACTGACACAGTGCCCTAGAACATTTGTTCACAAGCATACTTGCAGAACTGGGCAAAAAATAAGAGCTTTTAAAGCTCCTTTTGATTGATTTTATTTACTATTTCATACCTTTTAGCTTCCAAATCAGCTACTAAAATGGATCACTGATAAGTGAGTTAAAAAGCCACTTATATCTGGGTGTGGTGGTGCATACCTGTAATCCTAGCACTCAGGAGGCTAAGGCAGGA